GTAGCTCGTACGTTACTGATATGAGCTTGCGGTGCTTTCGATTCGGTAAAAGAGTTCGCGGTGAAAGCAGCAACGAGAATGTGAAATATTCTAAGAGACTTTTTGATAATATGGTGCTTCAAGATTTCCCCTCCCCCCCCTCCCTCCCACTTCCGTCAATATATACTTTGTATACGCCCCTTGTAGATTTCCCTGTTCACTCTGTCTGGTTAAACACGTTCCTTACCTACTAGCTAGTACTTTTATCTAAATCAGCTCTTGTTAAGAGACAAAAGGACAGATAGGTTAAAGTGATATATATAAAAATTGAAAAATTCTGAAGAAAAATATTTTTGACAAAATTTTCGGAATTCATATAAAAAACGAGTAACGCGAGTTTACGGGTAAAATTGATTAATACTTCTTATTTTTCTTCGTCGATTATGGAATTAGGTAAAAACGTTCTTCGTTATCTCGTACACGACATCGATGCCAGGATACGCGTGATTTTTTTTTTTTTTGAAAATTAACTTTCAACGTTACGTCGTTACGAAAGATATCTCGTCTTTGTTATCATACATTTGTTCGAAGGTAAAGCACATTTCGACTAGATGGAAAGCTCGTCTGGTGTATCCTGACAAGGGATGAAAGTTACGGAAGATGCCGGACGGATAAGGGATGAAGGAATTAGAATGGATGGTGCTACCTATCGCCTTGGAGAATTAGGCTGTTTCCATTTGAAAGGCAGAACTCCGAGAGCTGTGTGAAGTGCAGAAAGGATTGATAACAATGGGACGGAAAGTTATTAACGGAAGAGAAATTGATACTTGGAAAGCTTCGCGGTGTCGAGCTTTTGGAAGACCCTTTGTTGTCTGGCCTAGTACTCGGACGTGACCTCTTCCACTTTCTAGGGTTCGTGATGATCTGAGAGACTGCACTTTATGTAAGGTGCCTACATGCGTCTACTGGATACCCAACTCTTGGCTGGGACGGAATGTCTGGTTAGTTAGTAGCGTATGTCGAAGAAGCTTAATTAATAGTGAAACAAGAGACTAACCAGTACGGAAAGCTTGCAAGCTGCTGGCAGTACTGCCTTAGGTATACGTGAGAAACATTTCAGAGACCCGGTTGTCGCGGGACACCCAATATCGTGGGTAGAAGTTTGCTTTCGTTAATATTAATTAATCGATAAATAAGATACACGTGCACCCCTTCCTGTGTAAATCACTGCAGGCTGTTTCTAAGAAAGATGTATCCAAAATTATTAACTTCAATTATCGTGCCTTTTAAGCTTTGCTTTGTATCTTGTATTTACTCCAAAAATTTTATTACTTTATTAATTACCGTATCGTAATTAATTGTCGTAAATAATTATATCTATTTATTCTAAAGTAGCACCCATGTCGTAATTTGACCTGCGACCTTACGGGTGATACGCGTAATCTCAGAATACAGCATCAGAGTTCTTCCATTGAGATGTGAAAAAATAAAAAATAGAAGAGAGCGCAAAGTGAGGGATTCCGAGGAAAATCTTCGCTCTCGACAGAGCGCGGGTAAAATTTCATGAAGTCGAGGCGTCGCGACGCCCGAGATAAAATTTTTACATGCCAACGACGTAAGCCTGCTGATAATAATTTCAGATGCATCTTCGACGTAGAATCGGAATCGAAAATTCATAAAGACTTATCGACCCATGAAAATGTCTGTTAAATCGAGCATTTCTTTAGTAGGGATAAAAAAAAATGAGAAATCGTATTTTTCAAAAAAAAAAAAAAAAGAAAAAAAATTGTATCATCCACTCTTCGAACAATTTCCCTTATGGTACTCGAACAATGCGCAAAACTATACTCGAGGAAACCGGCGAGGAATAAACATTTCTCAGGATGACTTCTGGGCCCAATACCTTTCAACAATCTACGTACAAACATCCTATTTTTATATTCTGGACAGTTGCCGAGGTACTGTGGCGCACAAGTGCTTTGGTTTCCGGTTCCGGTTTGCATTTACGTCTGAATGTTTCATTGTCGAAATTCTATCTTGCATGGGCGATATAATACGAGGGCGCGGTGGACCCGGATTACGTCCAAAGGTCCATTCGACGTCCCGACCATGACGTTCTCGCTATAAGTAATGAACTAATTACTAATTAATAATATTTACAGTGTCTCTCTCTATTTAAAATTCAAAAATCCCTAATAAGATAGCATCCCAAAGTGCACGGTAAACTTTTGTGCACCGTAGAACTCGATATAGTAGATTCGTCGTAATTTAATAAAGAATATGCCGGAACCAAGTAAGGGTTGATGCGAATCAGTAGGATGAAGGGGATGAAGAGAATTTGAAAATCTGTAGAGTTGTCTGTGCCTGTACATGTGAATGAATGATTCGAGTCAGGCGTAGCTCGTTACGAACGTTTGCCTTTGTATCTTTTCACCCTTGTCTTACTTTTGGACTCGAACTACAATGAAATTAGCGAAGAAACGAAGCAGGAGAAACCGGCTGGAAATTCAGTGCCGTTTTCCTTTTCACCTAACTCGAGGCAAACTCGAAGGTCCCATTACTTTTTACCATCCCTTAATACGTACCTACACAATAGAAGGGAGGGATTATTGCTCGGAACAAGGTGCCAATAAAGGATGCATAGAAAACCGGAAATTTTTAACTTTCAAATTGACCGAGTCGTGTGTGGCCGTATAACCTAACCTATTTTATGGGAGAGAGAATTCCGTTATACCCTGTTCATGCTAAGTAAAACCGTATAAATCTACTGGCTGGGATAGATCGTGTTTAATCAAGGAGGATCTCGATCGCTGTCTAGATAAATTATTCATACGACCTATATACGGTTACCTATGTACATCTAGACAGTTGAGCATTAACAATATTTTTGAACAATGAATAAATCAAAGACTTTTACATACAATTACCTATTTCGAGTCAAAATATTAAATAAAAATCAATGCGTTATCCCACCAGACGATTCTCGTAATTTCTATATACCAACGTATCTATTGTAACGTATTTTCTTGAATCGACACCCATAACGTAAATCCGATAGCTAATCCATGTCGCCTTCGACCGTCCAACCTTCGTGCATGCATCCGCATGCAAGGTGGGCGCTGGCCAATTCTTTTTTTCTCGAGAACTGACGAGCAGATAGACAAGAAGACTATCAACAGATAGTTTGAGCGCGAGGCAGCTCGAAACGTCCCGATCGGTGTCCCAAGACAGACTGACTTTGAGGATAGTCGGATTCGTAAATTAATTTTGATCGTGAGATGAAAAATCAGGACAGACTATATATCGAAAAAATATATTTGGCATAATAAATCATAAAATTTTTTAGATTTAGTTTTCCATTATTTATTCCCTTATTATTAATGTCGATTTAATTAACGATATTTATATTGTGCGAATATTCAATAACTACTAGTTAAGTACTATACTCCATACGTCATTTAATTGCTGCCTATCTGAATCTGGTCAGATATAAGAAGCGTCGGGGCGTCAAGTATTCGACAAGAGACGTCGACGTCCCGACGACGTTGTTTTTGCGAAAGGTCGAATTTTCGATTTCACCGAGAAAATGCAATGACGTACGATTATTGAAACTATTCCCTGCTCTCGACGTACGTGCCGCGGCTGGAAAAGAGAAACAGGCGAGGGCTGGTGAGCCATGATGGAATATCTGGTAGTGGGACTAGAGAGAGAAAGAGAGGAACAAGGTAAATAAGCAAAGCCAATAAAGAATGGGAACTCGAAGAAATATAGTGTGTACATGCTTTGGCATTCGACGTCTCCACGTCACCCCTTCGCGTTATACAGAATGTAGCCGCATATGTACCTTCCGTTACTTATTTGGATGTGTCAAGTCGACGCGTCTGGCACGAGGGTAAGATAACAACGTAAATCTTATTTAACCCTCCCATTCGCGAATTTTCAATATTTCGATATCGGACCCTCTCCCGCGTGCTCCTACTAAAATCTTCAGATTTCCATAAATTTTCATCCTTTCCCCTACTCGCGTATTACCTAACAAGGGGTAATTCTTCAATATTTCATATTTTCAAAAAATGCACGACACCCTACGTCCAAAAATGTCTGTCTCTACCACCACGTACATAGCTTCACTGCTACCCAGCATCTATTTGGTACAGATGACAATTTCTTTTTCATTCAGGCAACACTCGAATCGAGTAACTCGATCACTTTATTGCCTGATGAACCAAATTCAGATTTTGCAGGCCAAATACAATTATTATTGTCAAGTAAAAGTCACATGTTCGTTGTTATAGCTAATTGGGAAAATTTTAACAGGGGGGTTAACGTCTATATGATAATAGCCAAGTTCCCACAAGTGCGATTCTGAACGAGTAATATCGAATCGTAAGGGTAGTGTCTCGAGGATTGGCAATTTCGAACGGAATCGCAAGAGAGAATGATTTTTATTGTAACGAGATGGCGCAGCCGTTTCCCTCGCTCTTCCGTTTCACTTCGTAGCGCCGATATGCTTGCGCAGTGCATTTCGTTTGATTCGATAGTCATAGAAAAGTAATGCGTTCCTTATTTCTTTTATTTCTTACTTTTTTAGTACACTAGAACGACACGGGCGCACCCATCGCTGCTGTTTTCCGAATGCCTGTCGATCTACTGAAGGACCCTCAAAAACACGTGTAAAAATCTATGCCAAGTACAGGAGTGTCGTGAATTAATCTAACAAAAATTTTTGAAATCATATTACTAATGCCAAGTACACAAGTCACTGCATATCCGCTTATTATACGATCTGGCACTAAACGTCACCGCTGACTCTCCTCTCTTACATCACAGCCCGGCGTCCACGAGCAGGACGCCATTAATGACGCCCAGTCGCATGACTATTCGTCGCCTTGGCTGTATAGCCGGTTGCCAGTACTCGGCGCGAGACTCGACCGAATCCCTTGATTTCACATTATCTTTCGGGGATCGATAAGACCTAAGGTATAATAAATATATACAATTTCTCTATATTTCTCACTTACCCATTGCAGGAGCGTAGATATTAAGGTATAAGCAATCTTCGCTTTGATTTCTTAAATGAGGTAACAATCGTCTCAAGTATTCAAGTCTGCCCTTGGGCATTCTCTCCAAAGCTTCCTGCTCGTTTGAGATGTCCGGTAGCTTTTGAGGACAGACAGGACCCACGGAATCCGATAACCTGTTATCGGACAATAAAATAATATAGTGTCGTAGAATAATGCTACGATAAAATATATATCATGTATAAATAAGACACAGTAACAATAAAAGACGATACCGACTGATACGGAGATATACGTGTGTTTGAAATTTTTTTTTTGATCTCAGAGAATACGTTGGCAGCATATTGATCCGATATGTTAATCTATGACGTGTACGTTTGATCGACCGATAAAAATCCATGACAGTGGATCAAGTCAGATAAATTATAATGGCAGAAGCAGCGCTGTAGCCTAGTCGATGGTTTCTCAAGGGAACGTCACGTTCCATTGTCCCGACTAATTACGTTATTATTACGTGTATTTAGGTTATAATACACAAATGCCAGGACCTGGGTACTCACCTGACTCCGTCCCAGGGGCTTGGTGCCCTGGTGGGTGAGAATCTGTTCCCACCGACAGGCGGCGTTGCGTAAGGGATGCCGAGGTAGACGTCGATGGGCTTTAAAAATTTCACGTACTCGAAGGACTGTACGACACCTTGTATCTTGCCGTACCGAGTCTGTACGATTCGCGGATTTAATTTGGTCTTTATCGAGAGTGAAAACACAGGCGGAGCGATTAGGCATATAAGAATTAGAAAAAGTTCCATTTTGCCAGTTTTGAGCAGTCCTTATCTCAGCGATCAATTAAATATCTTTCCGGACTCCGTAAAATTCACTGTATAAATTATATTTACACACTGAGCACGTTCCTCCGGTTGAACTTATACTTCATCTTGGTATTCGCGCAACTTTAATCTTGGTACCTGGATTTATCGTTTTTACCTGAAATAACATTTTTCTCTTGCATTTACTGAATACATCGTGCATACCATTATTCATTGTAAGACTAATTAATAATACATACAATCGAGAGGTACAAACACCCTAATTGCTTGGTATAAACAATTTATATAATTATTAAACTGTCACCGGAAGTTATTGAAAACCGGCAAATTCGTTGATTTCCCGAATTTACGTTAATTAAATAAAATTAATTAACCCCCCTATCCTCCCGACTTTATATACCACCGCGTATCATCGAACGTTAAAAATATCTTTTTCTTCGACAAATGCGCCTCGACTGTCGCCAGCGAGCTTGCGTTATCAGGCGAATGTGCTATAGCGACACAGCGATAACAAAACGGTGCAAAAGGAATGCAGAAGCGTCGAGACGTAAGGAAATGCTCGCGCATGTGAGACCATTATGGAAATCAGTAGTTATCGGTAGGAGCTGTTACCCCGGTTAACGTTGGATGAGATTTCAACCCCGTGTAACAGGATCACGTCCTCGTCATAGGAGAAGCACAACCCTGGCTACAGATAAGATGTTTCGTGCTCGACTTTTCTTTATAATTTTATTCCCTTATCTCCGCTGCTCCTTTCTCATTTTATCTCTTAACTTTCTCGCCGCCGCTGCACCCCGATGAAATTCAAGTATCTCGCTGTGGATTCACCCTTAAATCTCTTGCGTCATACATTACGCTCAGACTCACGTGTGCCAACCTACCAGTCTCTATCTTGCTTGCGTATGCGATTCTACGTTTGCTCCGTATTTATACCTGGACGTTTGACCTACATTCCAATTTACATATAACGGTAGTACCTGATATATATATGCACGTATAACTACATCAAATTAACCTCAGAAACTTTTCTCTAGGTTAGGTGGAGGTTTACCTGTAGCTGTAGTTACGTAATATTAAACAGGTAGGTGCACTTGACTCTATTCCAATTCTCAAGCTGTGTTAAGTATGTCCATATGTGCATGTGCTGTATCAGTAATGCCGAACGTACCTATCGAGTTGAACATTCAATTCCGATTAGCCTTTACAGCTGGATTATTATCAGTCTTGATGCGTGCTTTTGGGTAAAATCGTATTCGGACACAGCGATACGCTATGATCCTGATGCTTTTGATTATACACGGAAGAATAGCGTCTGCACGCTGGGTATAAGCTACGGACTAAGGGACTACGTAATTCATTTGACTGCTAATTAGAGTTAATTAGCACCCGGCCAATTCCCAAAAGTATCCAGGGTTAGGTCTGGATGTCTATGACCTCGGCTGTTATTTCAGATCCGGGAGATTCACGGAATGCGAAGAGAGTGGCCTCATCTCTCGGCGCTTTATATTAACTTATATTTAATTAACGTATTTCCTTTTTAACGTCGTGAGTCGTCCAAATTTGTCCGTCTCACCCGTCAACTTTTCTCCGTCCTTGTTCTTTGGTCGCGTAAAGCGTTATCTTTCTTTTTTTTTTTTTATTATTTTTTTTATTCTCCCGCTACCGCTTAATTATTCATTTCTTTATGTTCCTTCCTCCCTTTCTTCTTTCACCAACAATATCGATCCACTTTCCCACGAAGGAAGTCCGCATGTCGACTGGTATTCCGTAATGGATCAGTCTGAAACAAGGAAAAAGATACATGGATTAAATTTAAAGATCCAATACAGTGATATCGAATCGATCGATTCGATTGATTGGGGCATATTGGAAATCTTAAATGAAAATATCGCCTGGTGTATCTTTTTATTAATCTTGATAAGGAAAAAAAAATAGTTACCTCAGGAAAAATATACTGTTCAAATATCGCGACAGAATATTTGGTAAGGAGAGAGTATACATGGTGGACAAATATTAAGTACTCCGAAAAAAAGATACTGAAAGCCAAGATGATGGGGATCGATTTCCATGTCAATAATGATAAAAAAAAGTTTATTTCCATAGTTTTGGCGATGGCGTATCGTCGTTTCTATCTTACCATGTTATATAAAATAAATTTTTCGAATTGCGAAACTCCTCGAGGTACAAAATAACATCCAGACATTTCTCCGTCTTTGTTTACCTCATTTCAATGTATTATTGGATATTTCGCAAAATGTTGTATTACCACAATTTGTCATACCAGCAATATAACGCGATATGAAATATGTATACAATAGTTAATCGATGAGTTTACGTTTTCATCTCTTGTATACGGGGTGCTTATTGGTTCAAAAGCACCGACAGATTATTTGGTTTATTTGACTACTACAGAAAAGCCAACATCACTTGGACAGTCTAAGCCGATTATACCTATATAAATATATAATTACGTACAAGGGAAAACTCTCTTTTGCGACATGCTAAAATAATTAGTATACTCAGTTATATAAAATGACTATAACATTTATCTAATATTCCACGTATGTACTCTATCCCGTTTTAGACACGAGAGACCAACCGAACCGTGCTTAATCTTTCGTATAATTATATATATAAATTTTGTATCGCGCTTTGACGTATTGCCTACCATTAAGCTCATAATCGTATATGAAAGGCGTCCTTTGAATGAGTTCAGTGACATAATCATATACGAAAATACGATGAATCTTGCATCAAACGATGCTCCGACGTTGATATACAAACTTCGTGAAGTTCTGGTAAATTTGCGAACACACACGTCATTCTACTAAGCAAACTACTTGAGAGCTGAACTGGGGGCTCGTCAGTACTTCGTACCGAATGTCAACTGGCTTTAGATGCTTTAATCAGACGCACAGGAATAGTTCAGGGTTTACAGTAAACTGATAATCGTAATACGTACCGGGATAGCGGATGATTCAACATAAAAGTCCACGCGTGGCATATGAAACTTTTTTTTTTCCCATAACTTACGTAAACTATGTAATCGATTATTACAGTATAGCTTCTCCGATCATTAAGGGCTTATAGCCGAAGATAAATGGTGCCAATGGCAATAGGTTCGACGGGATAACCTAAGACCTATAGGTTAGGTCGAATCCTATCGGAGAAACAGGATCTACCCCTGTAGGCTAGAGGGTAAGTATCCAGCATGGCGTTACCGACACGATATCTGGAGATCTAACTTGGGCAACTGAAGATGCAAGTAGTGGTGGGTTTAGGTCTTCTCCGAGTAGTAATAATTGTTTAGGTCAGATATACCGTACAATGATAGGAGCTGTAGTGATGTATATTACATTGTGAGCCTAGTATAGGTATAGGTCAACTCCCAGAGAGCTTGGCTTCCAGGACAGTTCCTTCTTGCCTGAGCCACCCTTAAGCTTCCTTCCTGAAGCTTCTGCTATTTATAGCCAGCTCCTCGTATTCTAGGCTAAGTGATAATTATTTAGGATAGTTATACCGTGCGTGTGATGTAGTTTGGTATTATGAGGTTCCGTGGGGTGGGGGGGGAGGCCGGAAAGAGGGTGAGTAGGTGGCGTTGTTGGTCTTATCGTTACTAGAGCCTTCGAAGAGCCTTGTGAGCCTCGTTAGAGCCGCCATTATTCTCTCGGGATGGACATGTAATGGCGTCGATTATCGTATAACACAAATTTCCTTTTCTTTTTTCTTTTTTTTTTCGTACGACTACCCTTACTTGACTTTGCGTTTCCTCGTGGATTTTATGGGGTTTCGTTACACCATGCTGGTATACTATGTGATTAGACGTAGAAAAACAAGCGTAAAATCGACATTCGCAATCAGCAAGACGTAGAAGATGTAGGAGAGCGTAAATTAGTTAACAAAATTTATATCACGTTACCGATCGTTCGGTATGAAGTATCCATACGAAGTATTAACGTGTAATCATTACGATGCTTTAGGTAATAAAATTCACGGATTTTCAATCCTTGCGACATTCATATGGGGATCGAGACGATTGCCCGGAACATCGAATGAAAAGGAACAAATAAATTGGACACGAACAATACAGAATCGATAGAAGGTATCCAAACCAAAGTAAGGTATTTGATCCAGGTGCTCGTTAACGGGTTTGTTTACAAGGTGTGCAACTCGATCGTACAGCAGTAAGGCAATACTGGCTGACGCGATCGAAGATCAAAGAATAAAATAGGCTGCCGAGGATACATTGGGAAACAATAAAAGACTGAGGTCAGGACTCCTTGGCAACCCTCACCATAAAATAGTCAGGGGAGAACCATCTGGTTAGTTCATTTCGGTCGACACTACAATCCCTTGGTGTTATCAGGGTCGTGAACGCTTGATGCATCCCTCGGCGTACTTTTGTGACGTCACGTAGCGAGTAAAGTATTTGTGTATAGTATTGACATGGTACAGTATTATCTTTGTGAAATATATTGACTATCCGGAAATGGAATATGTGACTTGGTTGCATCTTCAACTTTCTTGGAGACGTCAGAGACTCTGAGGTGGTCCGACGGTCGTTTTCATTCGATTGTATGTGAAACGTCATGGATATCGCGTCTTCCTATATCAAGAATAAAAGTTCGATCCCTTAGGAATCTGTGCTTTCTCCGTTGGTTGAAACTTTGTTCGGAAGCACAGAAAAGCTCGTAGTCTCTTTTTGGTTTGTAAAATCGACACTACAATCCCTTGGTGTTACCAGGGTCGTGAACGCTTGATGCATCCCTCGGCGTACTTTTGTGACGTCACGTCACAAAAAAGCTTAACACCCTTTATCAGGGCCCCCTGATACAAGATCCTAATAAATCTGATTAGACTGATCGGATTCATACTTTTTTCTGATTCTTAATCTTTCGATGGATCTCCTCGATCGTTATGGAAATAGATCATGGCGCCATTTAGCTCTTATGGGGGTCTGTGTTTTTTTGTCTGTCTCATCTCTCTCGATAGACGGTTCTGGGTCGACACTACAATCCCTTGGTGTTATCAGGGTCGTGAACGCTTGACGCATCCCTCGGCGTACTTTTGTGACGTCACGTAGCGAGTAAAGTATTTGTGTATAGTATTGACATGGTACAGTATTATCTTTGTGAAATATATTGACTATCCGGAAATGGAATATGTGACTTGGTTGCATCTTCAACTTTCTTGGAGACGTCAGAGACTCTGAGGTGGTCCGACGGTCGTTTTCATTCGATTGTATGTGAAACGTCATGGATATCGCGTCTTCCTATATCAAGAATAAAAGTTCGATCCCTTAGGAATCTGTGCTTTCTCCGTTGGTTGAAACTTTGTTCGGAAGCACAGAAAAGCTCGTAGTCTCTTTTTGGTTTGTAAAGTGGAATTTGAAGTCTTCGGAAATGATTTCTAATTTAATTTTTTTTTTTTCATTCTTTAGCGTTTGTTTCCTCTCTTCATTCTATTCTTTTTTCTCTTTATTCACTCGCGTGACCCGTACTTTTCTTAAGGGAATAAAAGACAGAGAGAGAGAGAATCATGTTTCATAAAGAGCAGCTTCCGTCGAAAAGCTTTACTTCTTATTTGCACTGAAATTCTTTCGTCGGTTGCTTCCGTGAAGAGGTACTTCAAGGAAGACAAAAGAAGAGGAAAGGGGGGGGGGGCCAGGGGAGAGGGAAGCAGGGAACAAAAATAAGAATAAGGGACAGAGAAAAAAAGAAAACGAATATTCTTCAGAAAAATCAGTGCTTGCCATCCCTGAAGGTCTAAACAGTGAGTAGACGTCTTCTATGGTTCGAGCGAAAGCTCACTGGAGCGCCAGAATGAATGATTATGTTTGCACTTAATGACAGTTTGGATAATGGATCATTTTACTGTGGAAGATCGTATCTTGTTACGTTTTACGTTTTTCTTTACTTAAGAATCCTTATATAGCACCAGACCCCAAATCGATGGCTGTTGTCTCATAATCATCAAATTCCCAGGAAATCATTGTGTGTACGTACGTACGCTGTCAGTCGTTCATGCCTTCTTGACAGTTTCAATATTGTTTTTCCCATCTATGTAAACTGATTAGTTTCAGATCGATAGCCGCCCGAAAGACAAACTGCCTTTTGAATATAGGGATACTGTATGGGAATTTCGAGTTCTCTACGAATAGCCGAAAAATGCATGGGCACCCAAAAATCGGCCGAAATACAGAAAATGGAAAATTATGAAAATTTTTCATAAATGGGAAAAATAATCTTGAAGCTATAAAGAAATTAACGTGGGGCAGTGTACAGCCGTACAGAATCTTTAATCTTTTGTCTTCCGGTCCAGGTCCTGTTTCGCTAATGCGATTCGGGAAAAAGTCTGACTTGGCTATTATTGAAATTTAATAAGAAAAACCTATTGGAATAAACACAAGACTATCCATCACTCTTGACGTCTCACCTAGTAACGGAAAAAGTTTTGTCCGTAGCTTAATGCTGGTACGCACTGTATGTATGGTGAATGGTGGCTTTTGTTTTGTCGCACACGACGGTGCTGCCATCTTGGAATATTATTTATTGCAAAAGACAGCGCTGTTCTATCAGTTAAAATTCCATGTTAGACTTTCCCTCCCTCTGGCATAAGATTTATGTTAACGTATCGCATATCGAAAATAACTTAAAAGTTTGACATCAATTTTACGCGATGCCTATTGGTCTTGTTATTCGATGCGTGAGAATTATTCACTTGGTATTGCGCGGGCAGATATAGTCAATCTGACAGACTGCGGTTATTATATAAATGTAG